TGATTTCGTTTGTTGTATTTCGAAAAATCCACTTTGTTCCGATGATTATTCTATCTTTAGGTCTGGGAACTAAGTCCCAAACTCGAGTTTTTGAAAACCAGTTCATTTCATTATGCTTGGCAGCAGACCAGTATTCATTTATTGCATCTTCAACATTTTTAGGTTCAAATTGAGCTATAAAATCAGCATGTTCAGTTAGATGTTTAGATCTAGTAAGCATACCTCGACTAAGATCACCATTGATGAGAGGGGGAGGATGTCGTTGGGTGATATGAGGTGGGGCTTGCACAAGCTCCTTTTCCTTCTCGGGTTTGTCTCCTTATAAAGGTGAGGTTTCTTTTTCTGGAGCTGCTTGAGGTTCAATGCTCTTGTTTGCTGTTCCCAACCCAAAGTCATCATCCTCATCTAAACTATTTGCACACTTGCTACAAGACTCATCAAATATCGCATTGATGGACTCCTCAACCTTGAGGGTCCGTTTATTATAGATACGATATGCTATGCTATTCACAACATAGCCAAGGAAGATTGATTCATATGATTTTGAATCAAACTTTCCTAGGTGATCTTTAGTATTCATAACAAAACATTTGCATACGAAGGGATGGAGTAGTTTAGATTTGGTTGCCTGTTTTTTCAGAGTTCATAAGGAGTTTTATTTAGCTTATGTCTAATGAGAGCCCTATTTGTAACATAACAAGCTATATTAATTGCTTCTCCCCAAAATTGTTTTGATAGACCATAGTCATTTAACATAGTTCTGGCTATGTCAATAAGAGTTTTGTTCTTTCTTTCTAACACCCCATTTTGCTGGGGTGTTTTGGGTGCTGAAAAATTGTGTGATATGCCCTTTTTTTGCAGAAGCTTTCAAATTTTTCATAAATGAATTCTCCTCCATGATCACTTTTTTTATGTTGACTACACCTGATTGCTTTCCATTTTCAACACGTTTGACAAAATCTTTGAAGCTTTGATAAGCTTCATCCTTGCTTGTCAGAAACAAGACCCAGATAAACCTAGAAAAGTCATCTACAATTACAAAGGCATAGTATTTACCTCCTAGACTCATTACATTACTTGGTCCAAATAAGTCTAAATGTAACATTTCTAAGGGTCTGGATGTAGAGATGACAAATTTGGTTTTGAATGATGATCTAGTGTGTTTGCTTTTCGCACACGGATCACAGAAGAACTCCTTCTTGCCGAGGAGTCTTGGTATTCCTCTAACAATCCCTAGGTTCACAAGTTTTGATAAGATTCCAATGCTTATGTGCCCCAATCTCCTATGCCACTCAAATTGATCATTTTTGTCGACGAAAACTAGGCACATTTCATTAAAGGCTGATTTGTCTTCAAGATCAATTGTGTACAATTATCCTTTTCTCTTCCCAGTGAAAATAGGCTTTTTAGTTAGAATGTTTTCAACAAAGCATTTGTCTTGTTCAAAAATGGCTCCGTTTTCACTGCCACACTTGTGTTTTAAGTCCTTTACAAATAAGACATTACTTATAGAGGGTACTGTTCCTACCTGACCACTTCCTAAGATTTCAGTACTAAATTATCCCTGAAAAATACTTTTCCTTTGTTTTCTAGAGTTAGTTTTGTGAAAAGATTTTTATTACCCGTTATATGGTGTGAGCATCCACTGTCAAGTATCCACACGCTGCCCTTCATGCTCACTTGAGGACAGGTCTGCACACAAACAAATATGCTCACTTAGTTTTGGGTATCCAAACAAGTTTGGATACTCTCCAGGGTTGATAAATCTTGTTAAATGTTTTACCCTGTTGTTCTATATTGTGACTGCACATAGGTTTTCTTTGTTTTCTTTTGCAATTCTTTTTCCGCAATGAGCAATATAATGACCTGTTTTGTGGCACTAAAAACACTCCGGATGTTTTTCCTTTTTAGACACATACTGCCTATTTTGAGTCTTGATAGAAGTAAATTTTGTCTTGTTTCTAGTTCTAGCTAATTCTTCTTCAGTATCTCTGATTTTTTTTAGCTTTGCATTCTCATCTTCCATTCTCCTGAGTTGGTTTTCCACACTAAGTTTCGCAGTTTTTAGTAATTCAAACTTTGTTTCCAGGGCTTCATATTTTGCTTTAATTAAGGAATGCTTGGGCTTAACATTTATCAATTCAATTTTATTATCTTTGATAGTTTCATCTAGTTGATCATTCTCACTATATGAGTCAGAGTAATAGGATCTTACCTATGATTCCTCTTCACCACTTTCATCAACTGGAATGTATGCACTGAACCTTTGACAAGATTCATCTTCATCCTCCTCGATGCAGCTCCAAGTTGCGTAGGCTCTTTCCCTTTTAGTTAAGGGACATTCTGCCTTGATGTGCCCTGTCTTTCCGCACTTGAAAAATCCGGCTTGAGGCTATGATTGTTCAGTGCTTACTTCCTTATCTTTTGTTTCGAGACAAGTATCGGCTTCCCTTGCTTGTCTCTTTACCATTTTCTCCTTCTCTTGGTCTGCTTGGGAAGTTTCCACGTTTCTTTTCTCTTCTCATCCTTAGGATCTTGGCAACATGCTTGCTAAGCATAGCAAGTTCTTTGTCTTCCATTTCTTCAAGACTTTCCAGTTCATCTTCTTGAGATGTAGCCTTGAAAGCAATTCCTTTCTTTTCTCTTTTAGGTTCTTCCAGATCCTCTCTTCTTAATTGTTCTTCATGCGTGATCAGTGATCCAATCAGCTCATCCAGACTTAGTTTGATGAGATCCTTGGACTCCTCTATTGCTGTGACCTTGGGCGTCCATTTCTTAGGTAATGCCCAAAGAGCCTTCCGAACCAGATCAGCACTGGCGTACTCTACCTCTAGGTTTCTCAAACTATTTACAATCATGGTGAATCGTTCATTCATGTTCTTGATTGATTCATCAGGCTACATGACGAACGATTCGAACTCTTTTTTGAGACTGTCTATCCTTGAAATTTTGACATGCGAAGTACCTTCGTGCGCGACTTGCAGCTTGTCCCAAATCTCCTTTGCCGATTTGCAGCTATTCACTCTGTGATACTCTTCTGGTCCCAAAGCACTATACATCAGATTTGTTGCCTTCGAGTTCAAGTGAAAGTTTCTCTTATCAGCTTCCGTCCATTTTCCCCGTGCTTCCTTTACTTCCAGCGGACCGTCCCTGACAATATTCCATAGGTTTGGGTATGTTGAGCCAATAAAGAGCTACATTCAATTTCTCCAGTAGCCGTAATGAACACCCTCAAACCGTGGCAGGCGAGTTTGCGAAAACCCATATTCCATGAAGATTCCAGTTAATGCCGATCCCGAGCTCATCTTCTTCGAAGACGATTGCACCTGTAACACCGAAGCCAAACTCTAATACCTCGTGTAAGTGGGTCGAGCGCGAGACCGAACTCTTCTTGACTATAGTTTTCTACCCTCTTGTTTGGCTGCAAAAAATCCTAATCGCACAAATGGGGATCAAGTGAAGAACTCTCGAAATGAAGAAGAAAGCAGAGAAATATAATAAAAGTATATTTTATTCAGGGTTAAAACTAAAAAGACTATTTGTAAATAGAGTAGTCTAGGCTTTGCGTTCTTTGTCGTTTGGTTTGCACCTCAGATCAGTTGGGCCTATTCCACGAGAGCCCAACCGCAGCGGCAAACCGTCTTCCCTGAAATTCTATTCTGCAGCTCCCCTGTTTCAATCTCAAACACACAGAAAGCTAAACAGAGAACACAACACACAGTAAAAGTAAAAGGACAAGACACAAGATCGAATTTTTACGTGGTATCCAATATTGGGAGAATAAGGATCCCAATATCGACTAATCCACGGTAGGAGATTCTCCTCTTGAGATCTCCTACGTAACTACTACTTCGAGTTCACCTGTTTTTTTTTACGAGTGATGAACAACTTGGCTAAGCTCCCTGCCTAACCAGTTGCTCCCAGCTCTGATGTATCAAATCCCTATTTATACACTCAAACTAACTACACAAATCTGTCTGACTTGCTAGCTCACAGTTTTCATCAAAAGACTACGATTAATCTCACAATGACACAACTTTTAATCTCCTTGAAAACGTGTGTTCGCCAATTTTTCTCCTTTGCCTTTTTATAATCCTTTTCCCTTGAATTAGCCGTTGTGAAGGGTTTTGATTTGATTTCCTAGAATCTGTTGTAACCTTCCTTCCTGAGACCTGCCTTCTTTGCTTTGATTGATTCCTTCGGTTCTTTACTTCTTTGTTTTTTGAAAGGCTTCTATTAACACATAGCCAATGCAAACAAATGATCTCATTGGACCGACAAGAAATGTTCATTGATAACTAAAGTGTGTTCATGTTACAAGCATCTATTATGATCTAGTTTAGGTCTCTAAAGAAACCTTCATCAAATTGCTATGAGGGATTTCAGTGGCACTAAAGACATTCCAATATCAATTTACGTCGTTTATAGAAATGTGAGCATCACATATATTTTCAAATTATACAAATCATCATTCAAATAATGAATCTTAATCAAGCTTATGAAAATACCATCATAGACACATTATTGACCCAACAGACACACATTATTGCTCATATGTGAAATGCTTTTTGTGAACAACAAGCCTTGGTATTTTAAAAAAGTGAAAGAAGTAGAAAATTGACAGAAAATGGTAACGAGAGAATGAAATTCCACAATTTTCACTCATGAGAATATGGATATAACCACTAAATTCTTGATTACTCTTTTTCTTACCTTGAATCAAGGAAAGATTGACAAAATGAAGGCATCCAGAAAAAGCGGATCTTGCAGCCCTATTCACCAGAAAAATACATTGTTCATTTACTAAAATTAAAATACCAAAGAGAAACCTAAGAAATTTATTCCTTCTTCACAACCAAAGCTCATAGAACTAGAAAAAAAACCTTTTCGAAAATTTTGCCAAAGAATTCTTATCACCAAATTCAACAAATCTTCTGTTTGTCTCAAATGCCGACCCCATGTTTCTTTGCGTGAATGAATAGATAAAAAAATCAAGAAAGATGGGTTTGGATGTAAAGGCCATTGTCATTACAATTTGTAAATTCTCCTTCAAAAGTATGTGTAAATGTGTAAAGAAATATCCTATCCTCTCAGGACTTATGTGCATAATCTTTCTCATATACGTATTCAATCCTTCAATTTTTGTTTTCTTGATCTACACTTCCCCATTAATCGTTGTCACTACGCTCCTATATCGGTTATACCTGAAACATAGAAAGAGTAAAAATGTCATTAATAAAGAGAGAAAAATTGAGAAGTATTCAATCTCTTCTACTGCTGGAGCGAAGACCAAGTCCATCGAGTCTGATCGACCGATTCCCACCAAACCCACTCGATCGATGTCTCAGAGGAGGAATAAAGAGAAGTTCTTCGTGGATGCTGATCCAACAACTGCCCAAGAAATTAAAGCCAGCATTAGTGATTTTCTCATGGCGGCTGCTCCAACAACCAATTTGGACTTGCTAGACAAAGTTGGCTTTACTAATGAAAGAGATACAAATGATGAATCAAGAATAATGAAAGAACATCAAGAAGGACAAGGCTCCCTCGACGAGAGTAAGGATTCGTTGCTTGATGGTGATACATCAAATCATGATAATCATCTAAGTGATTTTCCCCTTAAAAGTCGACATTGGGTCAAAGGCATTGGAGGAGAAGAGTTTGGAAGCTCAGAAGAAGATGCAGAGATTCATGAGGATAGAAACCATGCGATGGAGTGGAACGAAGACGATCAGAAGAATTTGATGGATTTGGGGATCTCAGAGATTGAAAGAAATAAGCGTCTAGAGAGCTTGATTGCGAGGAGGAGAGAGAAAAAGTTGTTCAAGATGAAAACCGAGAAAGGGATGGTAGATATAAATATCGGCCCTTGTACCTCACCCATTGCGTCGACAACATCAATTATTGCTCCAGTCTTTATCTCGAGGAATGATCCAATCCACATTAGTCATGGTTTGATAGAAGATCAATTCCCTGGCTCTGCACCATCCATTTTGCTGCCAGGCAAAAACCCATTTGATCTCCCTTACGACCCACACGAGGAGAAGCTTGATCTCATGGCAGATAGCTTCCAACAAGAATTTTCTATCACTCCCCATAAAGAAATGTTCATGTGTAGGCACGAAAGTTTCTCTTTAGGGACACATTTTCCACTGCCGGGAATTCTTGATGGTCAAATGGGACATCCAAAGCCTAGCCTCCAATTCGGTAACAATGGAAAGATAACATCATGCTTTTGCATTGCACTAATTTCTTTGTATGAAACTTCTTATATAGATTTATTTTTTCCAGGCAATACTGATGAGCAAAAACCATCATGGAACAAAGATTCAATAGCACGGACAGTGAGTGTTACTGATCTTGTTACAGATCTTTTTGAGACAGAGGAACCAAATCAATCTCCTGGGAAAACATCATCGATCGAAGAAAAAGAATCAGAAGTTGTCAGCAAAATGACAATTGATCATATGGAAAGAATCAAAGAGAAGAACCTAAAAGAAGCTATTAATAAAACCGAAATACCAACAGAGGGAAATGAAATTTCCCCAAACCCACGACCCCCAGCCTTGCCTCGTCCGATTCCTAAAGCTGCAAGTGCAAGTGATCTTTCCAATGATGCAAGTTTGTCAATAATTCACCATACAAGAGTTGATGATCACTACCCAAATAAAGCGTCATGGCATACTCCGACCAACTCTGTTGCATCAGACTTGCAAGTGGAAGTATCAGAGGTCAGTTCTCCTCCGTCAACAGTGGATGGGGCTGATACCGACGATGATAAGTCATTGACTTACGATGCAGACGTTGAGAAGGAGATCAATTCAGGGAGCGAGGAATTGTGGGGGTTATCTCCACATGCACCAAAGATAGGGAAACATGAATTAGCACTGAGATTTCTTGATGAGGCTAGTGAGGAAGGCATGAGGAAGACATGGTTATCGACTTGTGCTGCTGACGAATCTATAAGTGCAGCCACGTCTCCTGTACCACTAGAAATGAAATCACAAAGCCAAGTAAGGTCAAAAGATTTTGATGGGGAGATCAAAAGTGACATGAAACAAGTTGAAAAAGAAGCAGTTTCAGAGCTTTGGATAAAGGGTAACGTTGGGCAACCGACGACTGAAAATGAAGATATAGTTCCTTTGCCGGATTCTGAGGTATTTATATCTATTACCTGTTCATTTAGGTATTTTTTATAAGATGCTAGGATCAATGTAGTCAAAATCCCGCTTTAAAACTTAAAAACTTACGATTTTAAGTTTCTAGGTCACTAAATCGCTTCTACATAAAATCTCAGTTTTTCTAACTCACGTAGTTAAAAACTCCGCTTTAAAACTTAAAAACTTACGATTTTACTCTTCTATATCACCAAAACGTTTCTACGTAGAAACTCGCTTTTAACTACATTGGCTAGGATGATGGATTAAGATGATAAAGTTTGAGTTATGTTAATATGGATTTTTTTTTTGCGGGAGCGCAGGTGTTGAAATATATTTATATATTGAGTACTTAAAAAGTGAATAGTTTTTTTTAAAACTGGCACAACTCAAAATATGTCGTGATTGCCTAATAATTAAGCTAACTCTCAAATGATTAATAATTAAGCTAACTCTCAAAACAAGTAAAATATGTCTATAGAAGTCATGCATTATGGATGCTCTGTACCGCGTTATGGATGCTCTGTAGCCAACAATGGTGAAGAACTTGACAAAAGGTCGGGTCGAACAGAGCAGAAAAGGAACAAATAAGTTATGGGTGGATGCTATGTAGTCATCAATCACAAAAAGCGGGGTAGAGGGGGAAAGGAATGGAGCACCTACAACCTAGGCGATTTAAGAGAAAATAGCAATGTATATTAGAAATAATAATTTACTTATATATTTCCCCACTAGGAGTTAAGCTACTATAACTCGTGGTTTGTAACTTTGGATGAAACAGGAAACATTAGACTCTTTACATGAGGGCACCAAAGTAGAGACGATGATAAATCATGACACTGGTGAAGTTGATGGCAAAGATAAGAAGGAAGAACTAAGATCAATTGAACAACAAACCATTTATGAAATCAAAGACAACGAGTTGAAACCAATAGAGGAACTTAGTTTAGAACTTGATAGCAATATCGAGCGGGAACTACTGCAAGGTCCAGAAAAAGTGGTTGATGTTATAGTAAAGAGAACAACAGAACAAACAGATGGTTCAAGATCAACACAAGATTTGATTGGAACAACTGAGCAGTTACATAATGAAGTAGCTGGAGAAAAGTTGGTGACACTTGATCCTAGTATAGACAATAACAGTTTTGTTTCAGCTCAGTTAAAGGAAACTTCAAGGTCTTTAGAACACATTGAAGATTTAAGAGAAAATACAGGTTCACTTGAAGTTGGTGCAAAGAAAATTGAGTCAAGCTCTTCATCGAAGTCCGTTCTACCAATTCAACCAAATATTAGGACAGAAGAAGATATCATTGATTCAAGCTTTAATACTACTCCAGGTAATCATAGTTATGTTCCAACTCAAGCCGATGAAACTTTAAGGTCCACTGAAGAAGTTAAAAATTGTAAAGAAGACACCGGGAGTGAGAACATTCAACAAATCTTGGAATCAGGTGAAACTCAGTTGACAACCTCAATTAAGAATGACGCAGAAACGTCAGACAGTTTTGAAGTTGGAGTTATAGGAACGAATCTAAGTTCTATGTCAACAACTTCACTACCTATGCAACCGGAGTTGACGGTGGATGACGAACTCATCAATCAAAGCTCATTGTTATCACCTGCTTCTGTTTTGATTGACATGAATCAAGCAACACAACTATATCCTTCACCTATAAGAGAGCAGAGGCACAACATGGATAACTTAGTATTTCAGTCAGAACAGAATCCATTGAGTCATAATTCACTTAATGAACAACCGTTATTAGAAACTTCTACAAGTTTTTCAACAGCAGAGCAACCACATAGAAGTACTTCTTCAGATGAAGCTGGCATCAATAACCTTGAAATGGTAAGTGATAATTATAGTTGAGAGAAAATCAATGTTGTGAACAAAATAATTTGTCATGGAATAAAACAAGAGTTTAATAATTTTTATTGACAGAGATTCATTAATGGTTTGGTATGGGATAATGACCAAGGACATGATCCACAATATTCACAGTGGAATAACAAGTATAAAGAAGAGATGAAACCTGCAACTTTGATTGAAAACATGTGTAGCAGTGACTCAGGAACAACTATTGGAACATGTCATATGCAAGAAATTTCCAAATCACCAGGGGATGATGATTATAGTCTCAATTCTGCAGCACATGTTGAAGTTGCAATAGAGAATGTCACTAAAGGTGAAGCCAATGGGTCTCATACTACTCCTGAAGAAAAGGTAAATGGATAATCACAATTCTTTATTTCATCTTGTTTATTCCTTTTCCATTCCTCAAATAGCTAAATATGATGTTAAACAGGTTGAAAACAAAATTTCAAGAGACTTACTTGAAGAAAACAAAATTGTTACTACTGTGACTGACAACAGAAATGAAGGCGAATCATTATTTTCAATCACCCAAGAACCCGTTGCAGAACCATCAAACCCTAATAATATGGTTTCCCACAGACATGATAGAGCTGAATCAATGTCTACTTTAGAACAGAACTGCATTGTGGACCCTCTAAGTATAACTGATTTGAATTCCTCAACATCCATTGCAAGTGAGTCTTTATCTCCAATCAAACAAGAAGATGGTGATGGACCATTAATAGAAGCAAACTTGATATCTTCTACGGACATTCGAAATGAGATTATCAATTCGATTAGACATGAACCCAATGCTAATCCATTAAATCTAGTTAGCTCAATACCTTCAAAAACATTCAAAGATGAATCATCGTCATCAATTGAACCAGAAGCCAGTACTGAATCATTGAAAGAAGCTGATTTGGATGCTTCCAACAACTTTGAAGACTCCTTTGTGTCCATTACTCAAGATGCAGAGGAAGAACCATTAAAGTCAACTAATTGTGCCTCTTTAGAGCCTATCAAAGGAGGCTTAATATCACCTCTTAGAGAAGAAGCCATTGCAGAACCACTGGAACAAGCCACTCCCTATGACTTTGGTAGGAAATCCATGGAAAAAATAAGTCAAGAAACCATTTCAAAGCAACAAGAACCAGCTGAACCAGCCTCATCAAAGACACTTGAGAAAGAATCTCTGTCATCAACACAACATGAGGGTAATGAGGAAACATCAAAAGCATGTGACTTTATCTCTTCCAATGTCCTTGATAGTGAATCGACATCATTGATCGAGGACGAAGTTATTTCAAAATCATCAAAGTTATCCAACTCAATCTCTGAGGAACCTCTTAAAAAAGGAGCACTTGTGGAACCACCAAAACCAACAGAGTCAAGAGCTTTTGGAAGTGAATCCCTATCATCAATGATGCAAGCAGCCATTGAAGAATCATCCCAGCTAGATAACTTGATCTCCTCAAATACCATTGAAGGTGGACCCTTATCATCAATGAAAGAAGAAGTTGTCTTAGAACAACCAAAACCAATTGACTCAAGTTCCTCCAAGACCTTGAAAAGTGATTCGTTATTATCAATCCAACAAGAAGCATCAGCAGAACCCCATAACTGGGTTCCCATAGAAGTCCATGATGAAAAATATTTATCGTCAATCAAGGAAGAAGCCATTACACAAGAACAAAAGCTAGCTGAGGCAGTTTCCTCCATGAACCAAATTCAGGCAACAACTCCTCTTCAAAGTGAATTACTTCATGTTGATCCATCCAAATCAACTGGGGAAACTAAGAACTCAGGCGTCAATATAAATGGGTCTCATGAACAGGTATGAGACATTCCATTTTATCTTTTTTCATATGTAATGGAATCTTGACACTCACAGTTATTATTTTTTGTTACAGAACATGGCAATCAAAATTGACAACATTCAGAGCTCTGATGCAAATGATGATTGTGACCAAACAACAAATAAACAAGAGGAGATAATTGCACAACCCACGGGTAATGATGATCTTGAATTGAAGGGAGAAAATCAAAATAAAGGAAATTCCTTAATCATCCCATCTCAACCACAGCTTGGAGAGAGTGCTCCAACATGATAAAAAGGATGAAAGACACAAAAATTCTGGAGCCAAGTGCATAGCATGTAAGTTTAATGACGGTTTTTCACATAAAAATGGGATTATTGAGAAATTGAAAAATATTTTAACAAAAGAGAAAATCAAAGAAGAAAAGAATACACCTGTGAAGATCAGGTTGAGAATTTGTACATTATCTATTTCTCTTGTACAATATCAGTTTAACTCTTTCCCTTATTTTCTTAGTTTAGATGAAAATATGTAATAGCATATATATAAATATGAAATGTTTGGGATAGAAGCACATGCATACACTTTGATAGCTTGATTCGTGCAATCATTAGAAAGTATTTGTTGATAAATTAATTTTTGTAATTTTTATTAGAATTTTAAATGAATGACAATATCTTTTTTATTCGTATATACTATTTATTACAACATTTAGAAATATCATGTATACAAACTTTTCTTTGGTGAATCGATACATACACTAATGCACTAGTGTCCATTAAAACTTGCAAATTCCCAAAAAAAAACATATGATCATATAATCTGACAAATATAACTGTGTGATACCTTTTTCTCGTATGCTCGCAATAGCATTCAAACAATGTCATTAGTCCATTGAGACACATGCTCATCATTATTTGACTTCTGCCTTAAACCCCAATAGAGCATGAATAGACATTCTGAATAAATAAGTCTTCAAGACTTATTGGTTGCATTTCACAAATCGTAAGACTTTAGAGTTTTGAATCCCTTAAGATATCAACTTGTCCAAAATTTCTACGAACGAGATCCACTTGGAATTTACATTGTTCGCTTCCCTTAACATTGATCACTGAGGTAAGAAGACCCTGATAAAAATCAGTAGCAATACCCGCCTTCCCGGTTTCCTCAGTAACCCAGTCCCCATCCTCATTACGAAGTCCAGAAACAAAGTTATGCTTACAGCGAGCCCGCATCACCGTATGGAAGTAGGAAGAATTCTTATCCCCTTTCTTCAGCCACTTGACCCTGGACTTTTGCTGCTAGTAAATTTCTTCTGCCTCCCATTGACGATTAAGCTCCGTCTCCAACCCCCTAATCACATCCAGTCAATTGGGTGGATCATTTTAATTCGTTCAATCTCTGCCTGGAGAGTTTTAATGTTACGAAGGGAGTTCATGGTACCATCCCTACTCCAATCATATAGCAGATGACAGAGCTTTTTAAGTCATTCCCAAAGTCGAAACATAGGGGTACCCTGAATATCTTCCTTCCAGACATAGTTTACCATGGCCTTAACCTCCGAATTATCCGCCCAACGGGCATCAAACCGGAAAAGGGGCCTAGAATTCCGAGCATAAGCCTTGTTTGAAAGAAGGAGGGCATGAGGATCCGACCCTTGATCCAGAAAAAGTTTAACCAAAGACTCCGGGTAAGTATCGATCCAGGTCTGGGAACAAAGAGTCCTATCCAGCCGCTCCCGAATGCAAGCACCCCCATGCTTTTATTCGTCCAAGTGAAAAGATCACCCTGGTAGCCTGGGTCATGAAGCCCCAAGTCCTGGACGAAGTCACGTAAGCTAAGGGCTTGAACAACATTCCATGGGAGCCTACCATCTTTCTCATTCGCATGAAGCGTAGTATTAAAATTGCATATGACGACATAGGGGTGCTGGATACTCTCACAGATTTCTCGTAGCCGAGCCAGTTGTGTGGTTCTTATAGCAACATGACAGTTAATGTAAACAAATACCACAACATAAGAAGAATCGTCTTCATTAATTTGCAAACAAATACAGAAATTGGAATGATAAAACACCGAAGTGTCAAACCCGGAGGACCAAGCTAGTACTAAGCCACCAGATGCGTCGACCGCATCAACAAAGAAACAATGAGAATGATCAAAACCTAACCCCCGCATACGGCGGGAAACTACTCTCCGGCTCGATCGCGTTTTAAAAAAAAAACATTAGATTCGGTTTATTGGAATGCACTAACCCTACAGAAGTTTGGAATGTGAGTGACGGCCCAATTCCCCTCACATTCCATGCCAGAATCCTCATTTATCATCTTGGGGCCATTCTAGGCTGGCTTCCTCCACCTTTTCAAAATTATCAGCTGACTCCACGAACTATTTTTTTGGTGTCGGAGGGTCTCCCATTTCCCCCTCCATCTCATCCAGCATTCGTTTACGATGCCCAATGGTCGGGTCGGACAGATTAGACCCATACTCATTAATCTTCGAGCACGAATCATCACGCAAGATTGCCCTCTCCTGCGCAATGTTAAGCCCTGATTCAAAAGCCTTTACGACTTGGAGTACACGCCCGTTCCCCGGCTGACCATCCTTTATCGATCCACCCATCGGCAATCTCCGTTTAATCTCAAAGTCCTGATGGCCCTCAAACGATTGGTACCCATCTGAGTCAGGGGTGGCTTGCATCTCTACATGTTCAGGACCATCGAAGTCATCAAGAGCTTCACCCTCGTGCAGGTCCGAATTAGTAACAGCGGACTGAAGGAGCTCGTTTTGTCGAGTACTGCTGGGCCTATGAGGATGGCCATCCGACCCAATTTTCTTCAGACCCGGGCGAGCCCTACGAGTGGAAGCCCCAGCCTTGGGACTGTCTATTATGGAGGGCACATATCGTCCATTTTCTTCAAGGCCCGGCCTGCTCCAACTATGTCACGCGAGGCCACCAGGCTCGATGCAGCAGGCGGTTCCCTGGAGAGCTCTTCCTCTTCGGATTCATCTTGAAGAATGAGCCGACGCTTATGGGATTGCTCCAGGATTTCGGCCATTTGGGCCACCGCCACAGTACGTTGGGGAACCGGCCTGGAACGTCCATCAGCCTGAGGTCTACTGTTGTTCCTACGTCCAGGGGGTTTGGAAATCTTCTTCAGCGAGGGTTTGTCCTTCTACTTTCGGATGCCACCCCCAAGCCTGATCTGCGGTGACGTTTTGACACTAAAACCCTTAGGGCTGCGGCATTTGCCATTCAGTTTTCCACCCATGTTTCCCACTGAGAGGTTTGGGCCAGCTTTGTCTTGCGAGGCCATATCTCGCTGTATAGGAGGGAGGTTGCGATGGGTATCGGTCCGATCCTGCAACAATGCCTCACGACCACGCACCACTCTCTCAGTACCCTCCTGCTGCGACTGAACATTTTTATTAACCCAGATCGATTTTCGAGCATTTAGAAAATTTGAGTACTCGTCCTCTTCAATATAAATCTTGCAGCCTAGCTTCCTTGTAGACATATGGGGGCCAAAGCACTCCATACCGATCGGGGAGTAAAAACACAGTCTCGTTTTGAATGGCCCACCCGTCCACAATGGTAGCAGAACGTGGGTAAAAATTCATACTTCAGGCTTACCTAAAAGCGCCCAAGCTCATCACTAGCCGCCATGATTTGGGATCGTAGAGGCTTAGTAAGGTCGATGAGCACGCACACTTTCACAAAGCACTCTTCTGTGTCCTTGGAGGCAAAGACATCCGCTTCAATGACCTGGCCGATAGTCCCAGTAGCCAACTTTCGTCCAAATTGTTTCGTGCAACAATCATCCTTGACATTCCAAAGTTGAACACGAAATGGAACAACAACCATTTCCTCCAGGAGATGCTTGGAAACCGTGGGCGTCCAGGATTGGAGATGGAATATCCCGTCTTTGATAACCCAAGGGGTACGCTTGAGCACCCATATCATGGTTTCATCACTCGGTAACACCACCTCAAACAGGCAGAGCTTTGTCATGGTCACCTTGAGGTGCCCCTTGATCCGCCAGGTATCAAGCAAGCCCTCCTTCAGCTCCCCGGTAGTGAACTGGGCATCGGTGAAAAGCCTGCCTAGTAGGGTACGAGAGGTTCGGAACTTCACTTACTGTACCTCCTCAAGAGAAAACTGAACCACGTGATCCTCCGCAACATGGGACATCGTAGCCACTTGAAAAGATGAGAGGAATAACGTGTTATGGTGTGCACGTTGTACGTCCCTGGTCAGTTCCCCTTTAGGGGTCGATGAAAGCCAACTGCGGGAAGGAATAGGTTGATGCACAAGAGGAAGAATAGCTACCGAAATAGATCCAGGAAGCGAGGGAGGTGGACTAATCCCCATACCCGAGGAAAGCACGAGTGTGCAATGTTGTTTACGGGAATCTGCTCCTCTTTCCTGAACTACAATCACGTTCTACCGAGCACATATAGTGAGTGTGATTGGGAGACGGGTAGTGGTTATATAGGCGAGAGGAACAGTAAGTTCCAAGTATCGTCGAACGGGTTTCCTACGACTTCCCAATCGTATAGTTCGATTATGAGTAGGTGTCAACCATTGGGATTTCAAACGCTGCTTTTTGGATCTGATAGTGTGCCAGAAAATCCCGCACAGCCAACTCAAAAAATCAGGAGAGAATCCCTCTCCAACAACCCCACTGCATCCCCTCCCTAACTGACTGGGGCAGACGTTGGTGGCTTTAGGTCTGGCGACCAGTTCCCCGCCGTCTAGAGTAGGGTTACAGGAAAGGCACTGAGCAGCCACTAGACACGATCCGGTGGCCGAGTATGTTTCTCATCCCTTAAGGGTAAAATATGTTTGGACCAATCTTGATTTGTGGCCTTCTCAAACTTGGATTGATTCTTGTGGACGTCTAATCCATCACTATCAGCCCCCGCTGCATCTGCTCCCCCACAATCTGGGGAAGACGTCGGCGACAAAAGGTCTATTAACCAACTTCTCACCGTCGAAACTAGGGTAACAATAAATACTTTGAACCACCACCATTTCACTATCCGGTGGCCAATCATGCTTTTCATCCCCGAAGGGTAAATCTTGTTCAAGACAGTCTGGAGTTTCCGCATCTCCAAAACTGGACTGATCAATATAGACGTCGCCCCAGAGCTCGATTCTAAGGCAGGCTCATCAGCCTCCAGAGCTAAAGAGTGTGGAAGCCAAAACCTCCATGATTTTATAGGCGTATACCTTCTCACCCTTTTTAGTGGATGCATATCCTCGATTTCAAGCTCTGCAAAAGCTCGGAGATGGGTTATCTTTCTCCGTCGGATCAACCTTCCTCAACACCGGACCATATCCCAGAGAGATCGTACCGGATTGTGTTCTGACGTCGCCTGGCTACCCACATTCCCAACTACAAAAAGTCAACTTATAACACTTTTATAAAAAAAATAATGGGGCAAAAAATTATGAGTTGTATAGTTAATTGAGGTACGTAAAATTTAGTTATTCCGATCCAGATTGAGATGTCAACTTTGTGGCTTAGCGGCCGACTGACGACTGCTATTTAGCAAGGTAAAGGAAACCGTGTCGTGTAGGGCGGTACAACCGCTAAAGCTGGAAACCGGAGCTGTGACGGTACGGTACAACCAAAACAGGGAAAACCCCATATCGGCCAATATTTTATCTTTGAACCGTCTACCGCAATAAACCGGACGGTTGTAGTTGGACCGCCGGTACTGAAAAATCAATATTAAAAAAAAGACACCAAATCTCACGCTCTCCGCTCTCAACTCCAGATCAGTGATTATCCTTCACCGACATGCTTTTTCTCTTCATAAGCATCGTTTCCTTTATAATCGTCGTTGCTGTCTTCTCATCGGCGTCGAGTTTATCGAAAATTTTCTTGGAAATCTGACTGTCATAGATTGAGATTTGTTAACTTGAAAAAGGGAGCCGAGTATTTGGGAAGTAGATCAAGATGAGGAAAGTATGTAGCGCCGATACAAACGCAGTCGGAGGAAGAAATCAAAAATAAAAGGTAACAGATTATTTGGGATGTGAGAGAGAAGATAGAGAGGGGATCGGGGGGAGCGGATCAGGTTAGTAACTCTATGGTAAGTAACCATGACTAACCAGTCCACATCAGCATGACATCAGTAGTCTCTCTCTCCTAGAAAGTCTTTTATCTTTTCTCTTTAATCTTTAACGGACGATTTCTCTCTCGTTTTAAGTCAAAATTTAATTTTTTTTGGCACAGATAAATCAGATTAAATATGCTCTTCAAAATGATATCCACTTTGATATATTTTTAGTACAAAAAAAAATTGAATAATTTTTTACCAGTCATTACCATATGGTGTGCTCCAATTTAATACCATATGGTAATAAAGCGTACCATGATGGTATGAATATACCAATATGGTAAGAAGGTTGAATACATGATAGTAGAAGTATATTAACTGTCATTTACGACTTTCATCATTGTTTACTACAAGTTACCAATCACATACCATAGTGGTAAAGTATAGTAATTTTTTATCCAGTATTTTTTTCACCCAGAAATTTATATATCCAATAGATCATGATGAACTCGTTCCTTCTGAGCAAACGTTTTCAAAAACGACTTAAAAACGAAGAAGTTACCATATGGTATGTAGTTGTTAAAAAAAAGTTTCTCGAAATATATTGAAAATAGATCTCATTTTGTAGAGCACAACGAACTCGTTCCATCTGTGCAAAAAAAATTGAAATCCGAGTTAGAACGAAGAAGATAAGAGCCAATTAAGAAAACTAGGGAAAATAAAATACCTTTAATTGACAACCCTTAGATCTAAAGGTCCAGATTTAGTTACTCATAGGTTAGTAACCATTGGTTTCTGACCCTATGAGACTATGAGAGTGAGGGGGCGAGAGAGATGGAGATTTAAGTTTTTACCCTTTTTGTACTTTCTATATTTTAATTAATATAATAATATGAGATAATAATTAATGTTTAACATATATTTTAAGCAATGATACACTCACTTTAACATACCGTTTGGTATAAATGAATTCTATAAGTTTTGAGAAATTGATGTTGAAATGAAACATTTTTGTGTTTGGTATTTAATAGAATTCATTTTCAATTCTAAATTTTGAATTCTATGGAATTGGAACTAGTTATAGCCATTCCGAGGAATTGAGAAGGAATTTCCAAATGAATTTCACAAGTATTTACTAATTATAACGGAATGATATAATTATCCTCTTTTATTAACTAAATTACTTGTACCAAACGCAGGAATTCACTTGACAATGAATTCTACACGGCAATTCATTTTATTTCTAAGGATTTGAATATGACATACCAAACACAAGATTTCATTTGACAATGAATTCTACACGATAATCCATTTTACAATGAAATGAATTATCGATTCATTTGATACCAAATGGTCTGTAACGAATGGAATTCATTTTTTAGAAGTGATAGATTTGGAAGAAATTTGTGTAATTTTAAGAAATGAACAGAGAAGTGATGGATTTAGAAGGAATTTGTGTATGCAAGAGAATTAGTAAGCGAATAGATGGATTTAGAAGGGATTTGTGTAATTTTAGAAGTGAATGATCATGAAAGTATCAACATTTTCATATGTGATTGATTAGGATATTTAGGTTTGTTTTTGGGATTGCTATTCGTCGTCCTAAAAATCTTTATTCGTCGCCCTAATTATGTTAATTTTACTCTATTGTCCTTAGTTATTTTTTTGTCTTTTTGTCTTTCAAATACAGCGGACAGGTTTTCAACCTTGTCGTCGGAGAGCGCGGGACAGGTCGGCAACCCGTCGGCGGCGTTTATCGGGGGAAAAAAACAGCAGCGGGTCGGCGGCTGGGGGAACGGCAGCGGCAGATTGGGCAATCGACGTTTTAAGAAATCTGATAGCAATGGCTATCGCGAAATGGAAAAGCCATCTGATGCATCTTTATTTAATCAAAATGGGGAAAGTTTCAATATTCAATTACAATAACCATATTTATAGTAAACCTATAAGAGCTATCGAGAGTAATGGCTATCAACGGATCATTGCTAACCACCATGAACCTTCTTCCTCCTTCCTCAGAAACAGCAGGAGGTCGGCGGAATGGGAGCTGCCGCAGGTTGGGTGAACGGCAGCGGCAACCGGTATTTGGCTGGTGGGAAATTAGGAGTTAGGGATTGAAATTGGAAATAGGGGTATAAACGTCAATGTAGTATTATTTAGGGCGAATTTTTTTAAATTGTAGGGCGACGAATAGCAATTCAGTAGGGCATTGCTATTCGTAGCCCTAAATCACCTTATTCATCGACTTAACTTTTATTAAAATGTCTCAAATACCCTTAACTTAATTCTTGTTTTTCAAACCCGCCACTGAAAGCGCTGGAAGGATTAAACATTGTCTTCGGCGAGTTGGGACGGGTCAGAATCTGTCTAAAAGAGATTGGATTTTTCTTTTATCTTACACTAATTGTTGCGATCTTGCTACGGTCACCCCACTCGGCTAGGAAGGTCAAGATAATGCCTGCAAGGGTAGAGGAAAAGTGGATTGCCCAGATTCAAGCTTTTCTTCTACCTAAATATATAAGATCCTATTTTAACCTAAGAAAACAGCAACCAACAACAGATGCAACGCAATATATGAAATGAAAACAAGAGAACGGTGGAAGTATACGAGTGAGTTTCTGAATCTGAATTAGTCAGAAAAATGCAGCACCCTGTGCATTTTAAGAAAAGGAACAAGCTGATAAGAGTCTGTTATAACACCTGGTTTGGCTAAATTTGGCATTCGTACCCGGCGAGGTGGGCAGTGGGCCGGACGGAAGAATTCTCAGCCGGACAGAGGAGTTAGGCGGCGACCTTCTTCTTCTTCTTCCTCTTCCGGTTATGATCGACTCCGGCAGAAGCAGAGCACCAGCGAGTGTCAGGTTGAGGTGGATAGCTGCCGGAGAGAAGAATCCCACAGCGACAGCAGCGTGCGGCTTGAGGTCGGCTGCGGGAGGTCAAGGTAACGAATTGCTTGTTTAGGATTTTGGTTACAAATTGTGTTCAGAGGGTAAGATTGTCAATTTAGTGCATTTTAGGGCGACAAAATTTAAATTTCAGGGCGATGAATCGCGATTCAGTTGTTTTTCTGTATATTCCGGTTTATCCGATATTACTCTGAAACAATATCTTTATTTTATCGGTATGGTTTTTTAACAAAAAATTATTTTATTATTAAAAAATGGTATTTTATCGGTCTACAATGGTTGAACTACAATCATACCATAAAATACTCTACCATAGGCGAGTCCGGTACTGTTTCCTCTAGGGGTTTTCACCTTTCATCGAATAGCTGCTTGCTACTTAGGCCAAGTCCAATGCAAAACCCTAAATTTGGGGGCCTTGAACTCCAAATTTGGGGATTGAACCCCATTTTCCCTTCTTTTGCTCCAATGCAACAAACTCCATATTTGGGGTTCTTAATATTTCCAGTTTTTCCATTTATTTAAAAATGTACTTATCGAAACTTTAATATAATTTATTCATGTTAATTTTTGTATAGTTCGTCATCATTTTTAAATACAAATTTTTCGATAGAATTTTGTTAAATTTCGAGACCGAATTTTTTTTAGTGAAAAATACAAACATTAATTCCCTTTTCCCTAATTAATTACATTCCATTCCCTTAATCAATTTCCTTAAATAACTAATAAATAATTAACAAAAAAAAAGCTCCTGCGTTGGAGCTCCAAAAATTGCATTAATTACATTAATTAATCCAATAAACAATTTCCTTTCTTCCCTTAATTAATCACATTAATTAGCAAGCAATTAATTACACCTTTCCTACCATTAATCACATTAATTGCGCGCGTGCCAACAATTCTTCCATTCCCCATAAATGCCGACCTCGGCATTCCCTCCCCCATATTTAGCGACCCAGATGCCGATGCTCTCCATAAATGCCGATTTTCGCCATTTTTCGTCTCTGCGTTGGAGCTCCAAAATCGCCATTAATAGCGAAAACTCCATAAATGCAGGCTGCATTGGAGTCAGCCTTACGCGGTTTTTCACCTTCTCCACCGACTGGTGAGCTGAGTTGCCATAGATATTAGAAGCGTCGGCTGTCTCATCTAAAGAGACAAAATCACCTTTCATCACCATGGCCGATCGTCCTCCTCCTCCTGCTATAACCTCCTCGTTAATTCATCCACGGCAAACTCGCCTCGTCACTTCCGTTTCACGATTACGGTTTCCTTCTGCCGCGAAACACTGTGGAGTTGGAGAGATCCTCCACGCTACACAACACCCGCGACCACCGCGCCGTTCGTACAGCGGCGAACCACCGGCGGCGTTGGAGGCTATTTTCCCGGTAAATACCCACAGATATCGCATATCTGTACGCCCATGGTCCCCATGTGGAGCCCCATTCCCGTCTTTAAGATACATTTTAGAAATTTCCGTTGTTTTAGATTGGACAATGATTCGAATTTTGTAGGTATGCATTGGGGATTTTGAATATTTTGGGCGAAGGGGAATTGTGCATAACTGGTCGCTCACGGGAAATTTGTTGGATTGAATTTAGTAAGGATAATTTAATTCGATTCAGTGGAGAAGTGAGAAAAGGAACCCATCAAGTGGGCACTTTATATTGTTTGAAATTGGTAAACTTCTTCTTCTTCTTCTGTTCACATCTTCTTGGCAGTGGGCACTACTTGTACTGCTTCACTGGGAACGCTGGAAAGGGTAAAACCGGCGGCAGCTGAGCCTCTCTAAGGAAGGAAGGTGAAAAGTGAGGGAGAAGTAGAGGAGCTGCCATGCCAGGTTTACCCTTAGCAGAGTCCGGCTGCGGGCCGGACGACTTCCCGGCCAAGCTCACCTTGCAGGTTGTTCTTTGCACCATCATTGCCGCGTTTGGTGGATTCATGTTTGGTTACGACGTTGGTATTTCAGGTAGTCAAAGTCAATTAGCCTTTTACTTCAGATATTGGCTGGTGCATTTTGCTGCTCGAAAGTTGAAATCTTTTGCGATTTGTTTTGGTGGTAGGTGGAGTTACAGCGATGGATAGTTTCTTGAAACCTTTCTTCCCACATGTTTACATTAAGAAGCACACGGCCAGATCGAACAACTACTGCAAGTACAATGACCATTATCTCCAGCTATTCACTTCATCGCTCTACCTGGCAGCAATTGTGGCCAGCTTCGTTGCGTCTCTTGTTTGCAAGAGACTGGGGAGAAGACCTGCTATGCAGATCGCCTCTGTCTTCTTCTTTACCGGAGCAGCTATCAATGCTGCGGCTTTGAACCTCCCCATGTTGATCATCGGACGGCTTCTGTTAGGAGCCGGAGTTGGGTTCGGAAATCAGGTGAAAAATCTCCCTCTGTATACATTGTTGTTACCCCGTGAATGACCATTTCATATCAAATGGAGAAAGAAAATAGAATATGACCGAATATATTATGGTTTGTATCCATCCAGACGGTGCCATTGTTCATATCTGAAATCGCTCCAGCAAAGTACAGAGGAGGGCTCAACATCTGCTTTCAGTTGCTGATCACACTTGGAATCTTGAGTGCCAACATTGTAAATTTCATAACTTCAAAGGTGCATCCTTATGGTTGGAGGATTTCCTTAGGTGGAGCTGCCGTCCCAGCCGTAGTCCTCCTTATAGGCTCTTTCATGATTGTGGAGACACCCACGAGTCTTCTGGAGAGAGGGGAGACTGACAAGGCTCGATCCACTCTAAAGAAGATCAGGGGAGTTGATAATGTCGGAAAAGAATACGCTGAAATCCGAGAAGCAGTTGAACTCGCTAGTCAGGTTCAGCACCCCTTCAGAAGTCTCAGGAAAAGATACTACAGGCCGCAGCTCATTTGTGGTACAATCATTCAGGTCTTCCAGCAGCTAACAGGGATCAGCGTGATCACATTCTACTCCCCAGCTCTGTTTCAGACCATGGGTTTTGGGGAGCATGCGTCCCTTTTCTCAGCTGTCGTGATCAACACCATCAAACCCGTATGCACCATCGTCGCTATTTTGGTGGTGGATAGGTTTGGTAGACGGGCATTGCTTATTGAAGCTTCTGTCCAGCTGTTCATTGCTGAGGTAATAGAAAGAAAACATTCACATCGTAATCTTCATTTTTGAGTTAGTGCACAACGAACTCATTTCATAAGAGCTCGCGCGGTTAATCTCTTTGTTTGGCAGTGTGCAATTGGAGCGATTCTTGCCACACACCTCGATGCAACGAGCATAATGGAGAGGGATTATGCGGTAGCGGTGATATGCCTCATATGCGTGTTCTTGTCTGGATTTGCTTGGTCATGGGGTCCATTGGGATGGCTGATTCCAAGTGAGATCTATCCATTGGAGACCAGGACTGCTGGGTTCTTCATGGCCGTGAGCATGAACATGCTGGTGACGTTCATGGTAGCTCAGACGTTCCTGACGATGCTGTGCCACATGAGGGCAGGGGCGTTCTTCTTCTTCGCCGGGTGCCTGTTTGTGATGGGGACGTTTGCAGTTGTGTTGCTCCCTGAGACCAAGGGAGTCCCCATCGATGAAATGATCGGCAGGGTTTGGAAGAAACACTGGTTCTGGAAGAGGTTTTACAATGATTACGAAGATCATAACGGGAAATAGTATAACTTCAACGTTCAGGAATCAGAATCTGGAAGAGGTTCTTAATTATGGGGTTGATAACACTTTGCAGCCCCTGGGAGAATCGGGATAGAGTTCTCCTAAGATTTCTTTTTCTTCTCTATGTGTGTGTGTATTTTCTACTGGAGCTTGAGGCTTGAAGTTAATCAAGCCATTACACATAAATTCTTATACAAGGTATCATGAATTTGTAGCTGTAATAGTAGTGGCAGGAAACCTGTTGGCTGCCGTATGTTCATCAATGATAAATTTACCTTTTTTATGTAGACACGGGAGGTGGGGTAGTTCTTTTGACATTTATCTGTTGGACTGGTATAGTATAGAGATGGAGGTGGTTGGACGGACTCCTCCTAGTCACTTTCTCCATATCCTATTCTTTCTTCTCCGCCAAACTATTCTTCAAGTTTCTCGCTTTTTCATCTCTTTGCCAAATCTAGGCCTCACGCAGCGGAACCTGCAACTCTCCCTTCCTTCCCCACTTTTGCCGGCCGATCGTCGAGGAAAACCATGAACACCACTGGGGGCTGCCTCTACAAGGATCCAAATGCGCCCGTCGAAGCTCGGGTCAAGGACCTTCTTTCCCGGATGACTCTGGAAGAGAAGCTGGCTCAGATGATTCAACTCGACCGGGTCGTCGCCGATTCCTACTTCCTCCGGGACCTCGCCGTCGGTATGCTGCCTGATGTTCTCCTCCCACTTCACAAACGAAATGCCCCGTCGCTGTAATTATTCGTCTTAGTCGCACAGGCTAGGTGTTGGGTTGGGACTTACGAACAGGGCTTTGTGCGTTTTGTTATAAATGTTCGGTTTCTTTCGGGCATTTCTTCATCCATGTGGTGGGCAAATTTTATTTGCAGGGAGTGTGCTCAGCACTGGCGGGAGCGCGCCTTTTGAAAATGCGCTTGCATCTGATTGGGCCGACATGGTCGATGGTTTCCAGAAGCTGGCTCTAGAATCCCGGCTTGGGATACCAATTCTCTATGGGGCTGATGCTGTTCATGGGAACAATTGCGTTTATGGTGCCACGGTTTTCCCTCATAACGTTGGCCTTGGCGCCACCAGGTTAGCTAGCTTCTTTATGGGTCGCATGCAGCAAGTTTTGGTAGGACAGCTAGCGGAAGCAATAGAATTAGCATTATGATTCAGTAGCTGTGTTTCTACATTAGATGATTGGTAGAAGCTGAATGGAGAAGACTCAGTTCCATGCTATTTTCAATCTCACAGTGCTTCTTATGTGCTTTGCAGAGATGCAGATTTAGTGAAAAGTATAGGTATTGCAACTGCACTTGAAGTCAGGGCAAGTGGTATTCAATATACATTTGCTCCCTGCGTAGCTGTGAGTTCGTTGTGGTATTAGCTCTTGTTCGTTTTCATTTGGTACTAGATCTTTTTCGGAGAGCTTATTCAGAAGCCCGCTGACAGGTATCCAGAGACCCACGATGGGGAAGATGCTATGAGAGTTACAGTGAAGACACCAATATAGTTAGAAAAATGACCTCCATTGTTGCTGGCCTCCAGGGACAGCCGCCTGAAGGCCACCCACATGGCTATCCTTTTATAGCAGGAAGGTTGGAACACCTATAGCTTCACTACTGTTGCAACTTCTGCCTTTTCATATATTTCGTTACTGAAAGAAGAAGATTATAGTTATTGTAGTGCTGAAATGCTGGTCAGGATGTGGCACTGAGCTATTGTTTCACCCACTGTAAATTTTGCAAATTTGAAATGTAACCAGGGTTCTTTTCCTACCTGACAGAAACAACATTGTTGCCTGTGCTAAGCATTTTGTTGGAGATGGGGGCACTCACAGAGGTCTAAATGAAGGCAACACAATGTTGTCATATGAAGATCTTGAGAGGATCCACATGGCTCCCTATTTGGATTGTATAGCCCAAGGTGTGGGCACTATTATGGCTTCCTATTCTAGCTGGAATGGAAGTAAACTGCATACTGACCGTTTCCTCCTGACTGAAGTCTTAAAAGATAAGTTGGGGTTTAAGGTAAAAAACCGGAAGTTATTAGTTCATTTGGACACAACCTTAAAGGATATGTTAGTTTGCGTCTTTTCCCTGGTCCATTGAATTACCTTGTATATCCTTTAGCTCCTCTTGAGCTTCAAAGAAGGAATATGACAAACCTATATGAAATTTTTTGTTAGGCAAGAGAAGTATGTAGAATCTGACATCTCTAGTTACAACTTTTGTTTCAGGGATTTGTGATCTCTGACTGGGAAGCATTGAACAGACTCAGCGAACCTCGTGGTTCCAACTACCGCCGATGTGTTGCTAGTGCCGTTAATGCTGGAATAGACATGGTACATATCTGAGCTCCCTTCTCAAGTCTGCCTTAGCTTTACTAGATCGATTCTGTCTTCTGTTTTTTTCCCCAAATGTTACAAGATCAACGCATTGGTTTTCTCACTATGAGCATACAGGTGATGGTTGGCCGGAAATATAACCAATTTGTGGAAGATATAATTTCTCTTGCGAAATCAGGGGAGATACCAACATCCAGGATTAATGATGCTGTTGAAAGAATACTGAGAGTGAAGTTTATTGCTGGTCTGTTCGAGTATCCCTTTGCTGACAGGTCCTTACTAGGCACAGTTGGCTGCAAGGTAAAGTTTGAGAATTTCTTGCCTTAGCATTGCTATTCCCTTCTGAAGCAGAAATGCTGCTCCAAAGCCGATTTTGCATCTAGCATGCTTGCGGTTCGTTGATTTTGGATCAACATGTTAGCTAGAGGTCACTGGTTCGGTAGTTGCCAATGTGTTTTCGGTTCAGCTTTCAAATGAAATGCTAAAATCAAGATGATAAATTTAGAAAAGAAATTACAAGATAATAATCTGATACCAGATCCGAGTTGATGGAATCATAATATAGCAGCATACTACATCGTGAACTTGAGATAATGACCCTAATGTCGTCATTTCTAGATTCGGTATCATCCTAATTTGTGCAAATGGGCATCTTTGGTCCCTTCTCAATGTATCGTAATGGCAGTTACCACTCATCACTATTTGTATATCTTAGGGCAATTGTCTTGTGCATACAGCTTCACAGGAATTTGGCACAGGAAGCAGTCCGCAAATCATTGGTTCTGCTGAAAAATGGCAAGGAGTCCAACAAACCTTTTCTTCCATTGGACAAGAACGCTAAAAAGATTCTTGTTGCTGGGACTCATGCTGATAATCTTGGATATCAGTGCGGAGGATGGACGATAGCCTGGTATGGATTAGGTGGCAGGATTACCATTGGTACGCAAATTTTATCACCCAGAACCGCTAGAAAGAACATTTTCATTCATCTCAGCTAGTTGATCCCCTTATACTCAACTTCCTCCCAATATCGTGTCTCTAACTGGCGAAAACGTTTGACTTGAATGCTATTCCAGGGACGACCATATTGGATGCTGTTAGAAAAGCAGTTGGAGAGAAGACAGAAATTGTTTTCGAGGAATACCCATCGCCAGAAACCTTATCGGGTCATGATTTCTCGTATGCCATTGTAGCGGTTGGTGAATCTCCATATGCAGAATTTACGGGAGACAATGCAGAGCTTGTAATCCCCATGGGAGGACGAGACATCTTAAGCTTGGTCTCTGACAGAGTGCCCACACTGGCAATTGTTGTATCTGGACGGCCGCTCGTCGTAGAACCACATATACTGGAGAAGACAGACGCCCTTGTTGCTGCCTGGTTGCCAGGAACTGAAGGGGATGGAATTACGGATGTAATCTTTGGAGACCATGATTTTAAGGGACAATTGCCAGTGACATGGTTCAAGGAGGTCAAGCAGTTGCCAATGAACCATGGGGAGAACAATGAGTATGATCCTCTTTTCCCCTTTGGGTTTGGACTGACATACGAATGAGAAGGAGGGAACTCCATCATGAAACTTGATTCGTGGTGGAAGGCCGGCTGCTGCTGCAGAAACACACCGCTTTCTACTGTTTGTACACTCACTGGAATGATAATAACTTGCTTTGATGGGTGAACCTCCCTAGCAGTTGTTAATATCATTTTGTACTTCATTTGTTAAAATAATAAAATGTCAAGGTAAGCGTACCATTCTGTTGAGTGTTGTCAGAATATCATGCAATTTCGTATGATGATTGTTATTTGTCGCTCGTGTATTAAACTAAAATTACATTTTTGCCATTCATAATTTTTTTATATTCTATTCCCTAGTTTGGTTTTTAACCAATCAACACTCATCTTGCCCTTGCACCACCACCTGACCACCGACGTACAACCATCATCACTGGAGCCACGGCGGCTAGTGCAGAACAACCATTGCCGACAAAAGTCGCCGAAGAGCGGACGTCGATCGACAACCGTCAAAACACATCGTTGGACTAGCGAATGAGGTAACCGCGTCACCAAAAGTATATATTTCGCCCCATTCGCCCAAAGGTGTCAGACGCCGTCAACTCGCTGGCGTCAGACGGTTATTTACGTCTGACGTCCGCAAGTGGACAAGGTCCGACATCTGCGAGCGGTTCCCGTCCGACAAAAGAAAGCGGACCCCGACTGACGGATGCAGGTGGACCCCGTCTGACTGGTTTAGACGGACGACGTCCGATCGGTTCAGGCGGACCCTGTATGATACTATTTTTTTTGTTACTTTGATAAATATATTTATGTTATTGTTTATTTTAAAGTTAATTAATGTTTATGTTTATTATGTTTATTTAGAGTTAAATTAATTGTACATAGTGTTAGTTATGTTTATTTTAGAGTTAAATGATTATTAATTTTAGAGCTAATATTTAGATTTAATTTATTGCTTTTAGTTTTATTTTACATAGTTAATTTTGTATATAGCTTTAATTAAGTGATTGTGTTTTTTAGAGCTAACTAGTTTATTGTGTTTAGTTTTATTTCGTAGAGCTAATTTCATTTAATAATTTATATTTAATTAAATTACTTATCGTTAAATTATCATTATTTTGTAGAGTTAATTAAATTATTGCATTTAGTTTTATTTTGTAGAGTTAATTGATTTAGTATTAATTGATTCATTATTTAGTTGTGTTGCATCATATAATTTGTCTCTAAACAGTTATAAAATCATAATTGCAGGTAGACATGACTTACAACATTGAACTAAAAGATAATTACACAGACTATTTCCTCAATGGCGTCCAATATGTTAATTTTGAAGATGTTGTAACAGTGACAAAAAACATCGCGATGTCTCTTGGTTTCTTTCTAATTAAGGGCTCGATGAAGCCATGCGAGTTGCGTAATAAAAGAAAGCTAGGTATGTGTTATATGTATTGCGATTTGACCAAGGAGAGTCATGGCAATACAAGTTCAAAAGGGAGTAATTGCATGTTCAGGGTTAAAATCAAAGAACTACTTTTTGATCCAAAGGCTCTTAATGGACCGACATTCTGGGAGATTCAAGAAGTTGAGGCGAGGGTATCACAATCATGAGAATATGCTTTATTCGGAGGGCCACAATCAGATGAAGAAATTCAGTCAGGAGGATAAATAATCTATCAAGCAGATGAGAGATGCTTGGATATCTCCGGCGAAAAAGAAACATCAATGAACATGCAAAAGGGTGACAAAGGGCATCACTCGAAAATGCAAATTATAACCTCGGGTCCAAGTTTAAGAGAGATGACATGGGCGAGATGAATGCAGTCCAGTATGCATTGCAAGCAGTTGAACGTGAGAATTATCATATAGAGGTTATGAAAGACGATAGCGACATGCTGACCCATCTTTTTTTTGCCCATCCAACTTTCATCCAGATGTTGAAGGCTTGGTCGTACGTGATTATCATCGACTCAACGTATAAGAACAATACGTAAAAAATGTAGTGGGTGGAGGTTGTAGGTGCTACTCCCGTTGGGAAGAATTTCAACATATGTTGTGCTATCATGAAGGAGGAGACAAAAGAGGCGTATCATTGGTTGTTGGTGTGCATAAAACAATTGCTCCATCCACACGTGCCCACTGCCATCATCACCGACCATAAAGGTGGACTACTTGCTACAGTTTTTGGTATCTTCCCCTACACCCACATTTGCTATGTGTTTGGCACATCAACACTAATGTGCAGGTGAAGTTTTTGGAAATATTTGGGAAGGACAAGATGGATTTGGTCAACGAGGCTAACAATGAAGGTTGGTGTCCTTTGCTTTATTCTTGGTCTGAGCAAGGTATGTTGGCCGCGTTTGGCCGCTTTAGGGCAAGATAAAGCAATGACAATCTACATCTGTTGGAATACATACAACGAGTGTGGTGGCTGCATTGAGAGAAATGGACAGTTTGTCATACCAAACAAGTTTTTCATTTAGGAAATACGAGCACAAACAGGGTTGAGTCATCACATTCATCATCGAAAACTTTCCTTCATAACTCGCGAGGATCTATAGACACTGTATGGAAAGGAAACCACCGCTACATTACTAACCAACTCGGGGAGGTTAGGATGATGTTGGAAAACTCTCGACAGAAAACCCTTTCAGCAGCACATGGTACACCTTTCACATACTTGAGGAGACCGCACACAGGTAATTATACTGATGAAGGAGGTTGAAGAAAATTTGGAGGTCAGTTTGAAAAAAATGAGAACTCACGATGTGCATGTCATTTCTCTGTGACACACGGCTTGAAGTGTGGATGTTAGGTTATGGATGGCAGAGCGCGAGACATAGAGATATACCCGGGTGATGTTCATCTATTTTGGCAGACATTGGCATACGAGCACCCACCCAATGCCTAGGAGTACGTGCCCCACGAGGATGAAGCTAAATGTCACCTTCAGGAGTTGGTTGATGAAATTGTACGCAGAAAGCCAGAGGCAACACAAAAAGCAGAAAGAACGTGTTTCGCGGACTCCATCCCAGCGAAAGACAACATTCACGAGCTAGAAGTGAACGAAACTAGGAGGGGACGACCAGACAAAAAATAAACTGGAAGAAATAGAAGTTGGTATGAGAAGATACTGTATGGTAAGAAGAAAAACATGAAAAACAAGTCGCAGAACACAATGTCAAGGTCTTCAAGGTCGACAAAGACTAAGTCCACGGGAACTCAGACACGAGTACCCGTCAGAGGACCATGCATTTGATGATCATGATGATCCCAATGACAACAACAAATACAACGGTCTTGATACATGTACACATATGCAAACCATAAGTGTTGTTATTTATCTGATATTATGTAGAATGTGTGCTGATGCAGCAAACAATTCGAATACATACACTTGCATCTGCTTCCTGTCTTCGTTCGGGACCTTGTCATTGTCGTCCACGACGGTCATTTTGGGTTTCGTGCTCTTAGTTTTGCATTATATGATAATCAAGATGGGTTCCCAGAGGTGAGACGACTTATCATTAAAGAAATTCGTCAGCATGATTGGCGATACGCTAACATGTATGGCGCGGATGTGGTTGCAGCAATCACTTGCATCGACATCGCTACTACCAAGGCAACGACCATACGTCACTAGATTATGGGTGTGGAACTATTCGTATTTGCCACGATCTTTAACTTGGCTGTTGTCATGTACAACAATATCCCCCACCCCACGCCAACTACGTACAATTATACCATCATGCCAGTGGACAACTAATTTGGGGCAACCAGTCCTATAGGAGCCATTGTTGTGCATTTTGTCAAGGATAATTGGCTCAACCTCTCTTTCCCGACTATCAAGATATCGCTGCCCTCCTGTACAATACATGTGGGAGGGTGGTAGGCAAGATAGCGTCATTGAAAAGGATAAATATTTCCAGGCGTTTAGTCAATTGTGGCTAGATCTTGGGGGTGGCGAGTCAAGCGGTCCATGGCACAAATCCAAGAGGGTCCCAAAAAAAAAAATAAACTTGTAATAAAAAAAGAGCCCGATGTACCATGATTTAATAATAAAAACATCCAATTATCTCAGGTTGCTTACGTCACAAGGAAACATTTACTACATGATATAATAAAAACATCCCAAGTACAACAGAAACACATAATTCATAGCACGACACATGGAATAATAAAAGTCATAGGAGAACAACAGAATAACATAAGTCATTCGAGAACAACAGAATAACATAAGTCATAGTCGAATGTCTGAATACAACAAACGACACTCATAAATAGTCACATAACAAACATCAAATTACTATGGAGTTGGTATAAAACCCGACCTACCCTGGTACTCGGACCACTTGTTCCCAACTCCATGACATAAGTTATAGTACTCGTCGGACCTAGCATGCCACTCCTCCCTGCTACCCATAGCACCATCCATCACGAGAGATATCTCCATCCACATCTCGCTTCCCAATTGTAAGAAAAAAACAGACAATTTATATATACATATTAGTTGTAATCAAACATAATTTTACTTAATACAAAAAATTTCAAATATGATTATACTAACCGCATCAACATTCGCGAACTTGCGACGAGGTCAGCTATCACTCAATATCTGTCGGTGCGAGTGCCTAAGGTACCACCCCAAGTAATCGTCAGTAACCTCCCATGGCCTTCGTCGTACCGGGTTACAAAAAAGTGCAGATGCACACTATGTCCCCCAGGTTGTTCCACCACGAAGCATAATTAAAGTGGTAGCTAACAGAGTATCCAATCGTGGAAGCGGGTCGACTCACAATAAGCGGACACTCCGGCTGATACGGTACCATCTGCACGTAGCCTAACTGTCGGAGGCATCTAGTGGGATCAAATGGCTCTACTATCTCTGTAAATGTGATCATGCCCTGATACAAGGTACACCTCATGCTTAGATGAGGCGTCGGACCATAAGGAGTCCAAACAACCTGCTGTGGGGTCAAACTATCAATCGCTTGACGATAATAAGCCAACATGAGTGTATCCTTCTTCTTTATTGACTGAGGTGAGATACCGCGCCACCTGAGTGCCCCTGCCTCCCCCTGCTCCAACTGTCGTGGCTCCAACCGACTTGACTAGGCCTCAAGGTAGGAAAGTGGTCGTAAATCCAACACTATAATAAAGTCAGGCAACTCGCCACTCCCTTAGCCTCCGCCCGCGAGGCAATACCAAGATGCATGTACAGATAAGCAAGTGCTCCAGCCCCCCACACGTACTCTCCCAGCATCTCCGGCCTCTTCACAAACAATTTGATAATAGAAGAAACACAGTCCTTATTGTTATCTACGAACAGTGTAGACCCCAGTAGTAGAAGAAGGTAACACTAAGCCTCTCTAGCTGGCGGACCAACCTCCTACAAATGAGCCAAAGCTGCCACACCTAACAAACCATGCCCTCTCTACCACATAAAATCTCTGGCAACCTCTCCCACCTGGCCCCCTGGCCAAAATCCGCATGATCCACGCCCAATAGTGCTTGTATGCTCTAGTGACATCTTCTCCAACTGCCTCAGATCCACTACTATCGCCTTTCCCTCCACCGAAATGTCAAGGATGTGCACCACGTCGTGAAAGAGGATTGTAATCTCTCCAAACGGCATGTGGAAGGTATTGGTATCCGGATGCCACCTCTACATAAATGCCGATATGAGAGGAGTGTCCAGCTCGCTCTGAAAGGTGATATCTGCGAGGTGAGGAAGACCCCATGTCTCTACGGTACCTTTAGCACGAGAATTTGAGATCACGTAATGCTATAGAACATGCTGAAGTGTCGAACTCTTATCGTAGCAAGTGATCACCCCTCTATCAGCCTGTCCCGTGTAAAGACGGTGGGCAACATGCCCAAAAAAGCTACGAAGTAAACTCTGGTCGCTCGGCCCTCCAACACACGTTCCTCGAAGCTCCCACCCCTCTCCCACATTAGCATCACCCCTCTGACCCTCACCGGGCTGTGGAGCTATGTAGAAATGCCCCGCATGGTCTCTATAAATCCTGGTAACGATGTGTGACGATCCGCTGGCGGCACCTCTATCTTTGATCGAACTGCCTCGTGGAACGATCCTCAATAGCATCCGACTCATACTGCTTAGACTCGTCGTCAATCTCGTCTAAAGGCTCCAATGGTGAAGTATGATGATCTCTCGTCCCAAAGCTGTGACTCGAACGACCTCTACTACCAACCATACTAGGCAACTGAAAATCAAACTGAGGAAAGCCATCTGCCCTCAATCTCATCGGTGGCTCTAGCTGAAGTGGCTCATTCACAGACTCTAACAGCTCCCCCGACATATCTCGGGATTTTTCCAGTTCAATTTTTTTCCCAAAAATAGCACCCAACCCCGAAAAATTCCAAAAATAGCACCATTTCCCAAAAACCAGCACCCGAACCAGCAGTTTAGGCGAAAAACGTCACCCGGTGGCCCTTTTTTTTATGAAAACCGCACTGGTAGGGTGCGGCTTTGCAAACCACATGGGGCCAGGGCGGTTTGGTATAACTGGTTTAGTTGTTTATATTGTTTTTCTTCAAAATAAAAGTTAGAAGTGGTATTACTGGTTTAGTTGTTTATTGTGTGCAAGAAGTCCGGGGTTCAAATCCCCACCATCCCATTTAATTTTTATTTTATTTTTTAGAGATTAATAAAAGCAACATATTGTGGGAGTGGTGGATCAAACCCAAATAATAAATAGTTTACCAAATTTATCATAACATCTACACCACTCAACTACAACTCTTCTCTTGAAATAATAATAAATTGACAAAGTTTTACTCCTTGAAAACTAAAAATCATCGATAACTTTAAACAACCATAACTTTGTGCTCCAAAATCCGAACGTCATGATTTTTTTTTTCATTTCGCATAAATTTTTAAGGACTACAATTTTTTACTACGAATGAATTTTCAAAACAGGAATTATTTTTAGATATACAGGATTTTGGGAATAGCTTCTTTTCGGAAATCCACTTACATTTCGAAATTATGTCTATGATAAAATTTGTATTCCTTAAAAAGTTATGCGAAATAAAAAAAAATTCATGTCATTTGGATTTTGGAGTACAAAGTTATGGTTGTCCAAAGTTTGACGAAATCGGAAAAAAGTTCGTTCAGGGTAGCAAACGACATTTTTTCGGGACGAAGGCGGGACCAAACCACCTTCGGCATTCTTCAGCTAGCAAGATCTTGAAAAGTTATGCGGAATAAAAAAAATCGCGACGATCGGATACCCGAACACAAAGATGCGTTCGTTTGAAGTTTACACCTAGGTTAGGATTTTTCAAAAAAAAAAAAAAAGAGACCAAAACCGCATGGTGGGGGTGCGGTTTTCAACCAAACCGCCACGGCCCCATGCAGTTTGCAAAACGGCCCCCTACCAGTGCGGTTTTCATCGAAAAGCGCACCCGGATGGCGGTTTTCGCCTAAACCGCTGATTCGAGTGGTGGTTTTTGGGAAATGGTGCTATTTTTGGAATTTTTCGGGGTTGGGTGCTATTTTTGATTTTTTTTTTTAAAAGTGCTATTTCTGGAAAAATTCCACCTATCTCTACGCTTTAAGATCTTTTTTCTCTTACTAATCCTAATGCGCCCATCTAATCTACTCAATTTCTTTCCTCTCCCTCTAGCATCACCAGCTGACGCCATCTCTAAACATAGTTAATAATTATATATTAATCTATTATAATAAATTAATTTTTGAGCAATTTGTTCACAATTCTTTTTTATCATAGACTAATTATGATACACACAACTTATTAACTAATTAATTTAGTTTGATAGTTGTTTCACTAAATATGATAGATAATTATCTTACGAAATACGATATATAGTTTTTGCTACATTAATTAAATACAAAATTATTTAGACCTTATGTAATTCAATATGATAAATAGTTATTTAACTAAAATTAAATACTAATTATTCAACTAACTAATTTACCAAATTGAACATTTGCAAATATAAATAGAAGATTTGTCCATAATTGAAAAATCGAACATTTGGAAAATTAAATACTCATTATTTAAATAACATTTATATAATAACAATTGAATTTATATAATTTGTTCACAATGTTATATCTTTTTAACTATTGGAAAATTGAACATTTACACTATTAAATAAATAAATAATTACAAACACTATTTAACATCACTATTTTACATTTACGATATAGTAACTAACAATTAAATACTAACTATTATACTAAAAATCTAAATATCAATTAAATAGTATTTTTTGCTAAATATAAAAAATAAAAAATATATTCAACTGGACAGGCCAGTACCTGGCCAAACCGGTCTGACCCGATCCGGTGGACGAGGTCCGACCCTTCCAGGCAGAGCACGTCCCACCCTTCCAGGCCGACCGCGTCCGACCCGACTAGGTGGACGAGCCTTACTGTCAGTTACCGTCCGACTCCAGCGGACGGACAAAAAAATACCTCTTGAAGACGGCGGCGACGATGATTTGGCCGATCCGACGACGGCGATGATGTGGTGGACGCCGGATGCGGCAATGATGTGATGGATGGCGGTGGGATGATGTGGTGGTCGGTGGCGGCGGTTTGACTGGCCAGCGATGAGGGTTGGGATGGAGCAGGTGGAAGGGTTTGGGAGGGAAGGGTGTGAGTGTTGGCTTGGGAAATAGATAGGTTTAGGGTTTATAAAAAGAAGGGGCAAAATTGTCCGAATTTTGTAACTACGGGCGACAAATATTAAAAGCGGGTGGTAAATAGCAGTTCATTTTCGTATCTACAGGTTGCATATGATGAATAGACAAATTGTTTGACATGATACTGAGAGGGATCTACATGGAGAGGAGATCTCCATCCTGGAATTCAATGAGATCTCTATGTTTAAAATGAGTAGTGTTACCGCTAGGTCAAATCCTTCGTTGGCAATGATAAATATAAAAAGAAATTGACAAGTTTCGAAAAAGTATTTTTGTGTATAAAAGTATATTCTGAAGTCCGAGAAATTGACCATTTGACTTAGTAATAATGTAGATAAATAGCTAAATACATCAAACTAAATTGGAATATTGATAAGATAATAGATTCTCTATCTATCTTTTATCTTCTTTGACGTCTCTCTACATCTTTTCCTCCGATTGTCTCCAAAGGGTGTCACCGGTACCTCAGGGTGATCGGCGACAACCATAATTTTCCTTTACATCTTTTTTGCCATGCTTCCATCTTTGGTAGGGCTCCAGATATGGTTATGCACCTATCAATAATTAAATTTATATCTTTGATTTAGAAAATCCAGATATTAGTGTGGAGAATTAAATAAATTTTTATTTTCCCTTATTTCTTAATCGACTTATATCTTCTTCGTTGTAACTCGGATTTCAATTTTTTTTCATAGATGGCATGAGTTCGTTGTGGTTTACAAAATGAAATTCATTTTGAATATTTTTTAAGGGAACTCTCGTTACCAACTGCATACCATATGGTATCTTCTTCGTTTTTAAGTCGTATTTGAAGTTTTTGCAAAGAAGGAACGAGTTCATCATGATCTATTGGATCTAAAATTTTTTGGGCAAACAAAATACAGGATAAAAAATATCACACAATACCACCCTGGTACGGGGTGGTATTTTGTGGTACACAATGTTAAATGTCGCAAATGACAGGTAGTCTAATCCTATTATCATGTATTCAACCATCCTACAGTCTTGGTATGTTCATACCACCATGGTACTCTTTTCATACTTATCCTTACCAATATTTTATGGTCGCTATATAATCCAAATATGAATAGTCATTTTGGTTTTAAAAAGGGGTTAATTGCATGGTTGATCACTGAGCTTATTATAATTATCAAATTGGAAGGGGCGCTCTGAAAACCTTACCATCTCCTGCTACTTGCCGCCGGGGAAAACCATGGAGGAGCTTCTGCTCACGATCGCCGACGAGTTCTGACGATTGGACGCAAAATCTTCGGAACGCGTGCTGCACGTCGGTTCATCATTTGGATACCTAGGTTTCGAAGCTACAGCGCCGGCGGCGACGGAGCGGCGAGGATTGAATCGAGCAGTTGGGTAGAGAAGAGTTGACTGCCATATCAACCAAAGTTAACGGAGTTGGATAGAGAATGACAAAAAGTGAACGGTTTCAGTAAACTGAAGTACCACCAATGGATTTATATATTTCGAGTGACCAAATTTGAATGTTTTTTGTAATCTCAGTGACCAAAGCATGTAATTAACCCTTTTAAAAAGTATATAATGTAACTAGGGTTGGAATAATAGACTAGACCGTTTGAAAAATCGTGGATCAAACCAGACCGCACAATTTTGTCCGGACCATAGACCGTGAAGAATAGTCTGGTCTGGTTTATGGTCTTTATTATATGAAGTTTTGATCTCTTGGTTTGGTCTGGTCTAGACCACGGTTTACCAAACCAAACCGTGGATCTAGCCGACTTTCCCATACATGTTAGTATCCTACTTGACCACTCTTCCAACTCCCCCAACCGGACTCCAGTCTCAACCTTAATTTTGAGAATCTCGTTTCCTCCTTCACCGACAACCACATTTCACTAGAGAATAGAGACGATCGTGTCTCCATATGACATTATGTTAATGTTTGTGACGTTATGGTGCGATTTGGGATTGTTCGACTTTGTATTTTTGTTATTTAGTAAGATCTAGGAAGTCATGTTTGTTGGATTTTATGTTTTAAGGCAAAATAAACAAAATTTTTTCTAAGTAATTGGTTCAATTTTTAGTGTGGTTGACTTAACAAAGTATTCATTTTTTGTTCAATGCGGTATGTCTGGACCAGACTGCACATGCGTGGTCTGGTCTGGACCGTATAGTATGTGGTCTGGTCTCTGATCTACTTTAGTCTCTCGGTCTGGATCATAGACGGTCTATATAATCTGGTATGCACCAAACCGCAACGTTTACCGGCCCTAAATGTAACCAATCTATTTGTTCAAAAATAACTACTTTCATTGGTCACTAATATTATTTCCAACCAATGTTTTATGCTAACCAAACGTTCTAAATGTAACCAATTTCTTGGTTATAAAATGTTCCAATTGCTAATTTGTTTATATATATATATATATATATATATAAAATTCAGGCTAGCGTAGTCTAGGCGTACATTGTACGCCCGTCGAGTTATACTATTTAAAGCATGATTAACCAAAGATTGAGACATGATATTATACCCTAATCTCTAATGGGTGAACCCCAGTCCCTAATTCTCTAACCTGAGCCACAAGATTCATTTAATCTATAAAAAAATAACCAACGATAGGGATTGCAAAAATATCCGTAACTGTGGATATCTGCCCGAATCCGATTTAAGTGGGTAGGGTAAAATCTGAACCCGAAGGACTTTTAGTGGGTACAGGTAAAACTTGAACACGAATATTGTGGGTAATGGGTGGGCATGGTTTTATCACTATCCAACCCGAACCCGCCCGATTATACACATGCATATGTATTTTATCTAGAAATAATCAATATTTT